TTTGCAAATTTGTTTCTCTTGAGCATTGCACCAAGCCTTTTGCAGCAAACCAACTCCACAAACTTAGGCAAAGGTACACTAACTATCAGCATGCTTGGAGCTAGCCTGTATAGGCCATAGCATTATCAACTCACACTTTTCTTCAAAACCAAGTCAACTTGCAAAAACCACATAACTCTGGTATCTGTTAAAACCAAAGTTTGTAAACATTTGAAACAAGTTTTGCATATCACACTAAGCCAGAAACACGAGCTAGCAACCTCTAAAACACTCTTGTACACAAAAATAACATTTTCTTGCAAAATAGGGCAGGCCCTGCAGAATCACTTCCATCTTCACATCCACTCGTGCGTTTTGCTTGCAACCAGTTCCAACACACTCCATACAACCTACCTAAATTATCCCAACCATTCCCAAGTCACTGTAACTCCATTTACACACTTCACCATTTCTGAATTTTGAGTTTGCAGGTTGAGTTCTATAGAGAGATTCAAGCAAGTTCAAAGCTAGCTAAGCATTGGGAAAGCTCAAAGGAACTTCAAGCAAGCTCACAAGCATCTCAGGCCTCACTGAAAACCCCTACATTGCCATACTCGAGCTTGACTGAAACAGGTAAAGTTCAAACTTTTATCTCTCTATTTAGAAATCATTAGGCTTAGGTTTGTGAATAAAAAATGTAGTCCTCATTGCCCTTGAGTTGTACATATGCATAGAATTCATTTAAGTTAACTGAGCTGGGAGAATTTGAATGATGAACTTTCTGAAAAAAACTAGGTTAGAAATTAGGGCCAGAAAAATTCTCTCTGGTCTTTGAGAGTTAGGTTAAGTTTTTTATATGGTTAGAATCGTATGATCATGCTCTATAATTTTCATGTTGCAAGTTTTTGCTTTTAAGCACATATGCAGGATTTCCAGGTTTGAACATCAAGCGCGCGTTTTTGTTTGATCAGAGGTTAGAGATGAAGTGAGTTGGGCTGGGCCTGGCTCTTGTTGGCTATTTGCACCCTCCATTGTGCTTTTTGCACCCCTTGGCCCATTGTTTTTATTTTTTCATATTTTTCAATTCTATTTTCATTTCTGATTTTTACATTTTTTTTCTAAATATAAAAAAAATCATCAAAAATATTTTCTTAATTTTTACATTTTTATTTTATTATTTTTATTATTTTTTTAGACATAAAAATAGTTTACTAATAATATATACTTTTATTTTCTTAAATAAGTTTGTAAATAAAATTAAAATACTAACATTTTATTTTATTTTATTATTTATACACTTAAATAATATTATCATAGATATTTTTATTTTTCAACATTTTGTATATATTTTATTTTATTTTCTTGTACATAAATAAATAAATATAGTATATATATTTTCTTAAAATAAAAATTAGGGTTTCCACCCTTAATAAAAATAATCTTTTATTTTCTTATTTTTGATGCATTAAATAATTTATTTTTACATATATAAAAATAATACAAAAACATTTTTGCATATTTATATTTATTTGCACATTTAAATATTTGTCAATTTATCATTTGTACAATGAGTTCAATTTGGTTGTAATAGTTGACTTAGGGTTTTATTTTCTTGCAAATATCCCCTATCCAAATTTGTATCCCTCCCCCATATCAATGTTGTAATAGTTGTAGATTTACTTTTACGCATTTATTGCTTTCAAATATGCCATGATAGAAAGATTAGGGTTTGTATGCAAAAATTCAAAATCAAACAAATAGCTTGGCTAAAATAAGACAAAAATGCATGAAAATGACAACACAATGCACACAAGCACCCCTAGGGTTTCATCCACTTGTTGCCTTAAAAATGACCATGGTATGCATGCTAGGTGTCTTGGCAAAACAAAATCAAAACAAAAAGATCATAGTCCCTCTTTGACGCTATCTTGGTTGCCTATGCATAAATGATCTAGTCCCTCAAAAAACTTGCTAAGATACTTAACACCATTGCTATAATGGTCATGCGATGACCCACGCCTGTCCCGTTTAACATCCAAACACAAGGTTGTTTACCAAATGCAATGGTAAAACAACAATGTCAAAGGGTTAAAAATGTGTAGGAAAGATCTTTGAGTAGGGTAGACAACTCCTAGTTACTTGATCAAACTTGCAAACATCCTTGATAATTTCAAAAACACATCACAACACAATTTCAAAACATTTCCCAAAACAAACTTTCAAACATTGAAACATTTTTCAAAAGACAAACACCTTTGTATACATTCAAACAAGAATCATTACAAAGGTTGCCACAACGATGGCCTCTTTTCAAAATACTTTCAAAACCACACACAAAAGCACCATTTCAAACAATTGAAAAGCAAAAGCAAGTGATCTAAACAAGTAACTAAGAGCCCATGGAAAACCATGGATGAAAAGGGTGCTAGCACCTTCCCTTTTCATAATCTACCCCCCGAACCCAAGAAAACATCTCAAAGTTCTTTCCTGTGCTTTTTTACCTTTCCTTTGGATAAAATAAAAAGTCAGTGGCGACTTTTGCTAAACCGAAACATTTGCGAACACAAACGCAAAACCTCAAGTCAGTTCTCCCACCGCATCACAGTAATCATCTCTTATAATAATCCTATATTTCTACATCAATTCTACAACATTAGGGCATCATTATTCATCTCTAAATCATTGATCCTCATCAAAGAACAATATACATATATAATTCAATCATAAACAAAACAACTTTTCACATCTAATCTCACATACTACTCATCATAAACCCTATTATAGAGTCAGAGCCCCACCCTTACCTTGGATTGAAGGTTGCTCTATAACTTTTCAGGTTGAATTCCGTTCTGGCTCTTTTTCATTCTTTTCTGCAACTTTCACGTTCTCTTCCAACCCTTATTTCCTTCTCTTCTTACTGCTACTTCTTTTTCCTTATTAATTCTAAATAACTAATATAATAACCCTATAATTCTCAGTATGTCTTAATGGGCTTAAAACTCTTACACCCCCTTTCTACTACTTCTAACCCTTAAAATAAGCCCACATCAAATAATATTGTTATTCTAATATTATTCCACAACTTAATAGAATAAATAAATCCAATAACAACAACACATCAACTATCATCATAACACAACTTCACAAATAATCCAAAAATTATTTAATTAAATAATTAATTAAATTACGGGCGTTACAAGTCGTGTCGTCGGTGCCTCCGAGGAGGAGACTTTGATTGTTTCTTCTCCCAGGCCCCTATCCTCTCGCTCTGTTGCAGGATAAAAGCGTTACTCTGGTTGACGGCAGCGAGCAATGCTACCATGGCCGGGTCGGAATTCTGAGGGATGGGAATTGGCTGTAGAACTTTCGGCAGTTCCTCGATAGGGTTCTTGGGACACTGCTCGTCCAAGAACTGGTGGTCGTCGTGCTGGGCATCGATTGAATCCAGGGACGCAGTCCATCCGTCTCTGATGTCAAAATCGTCCTCGAGGTGAGGATGTTCCTGGCTTCCTTCGGTCTTGTGGACCGGGGAAAGCGCAGTCTTTCCAAAGAGGTGATGATCATCTTGGTCGGACATGATTGAAGGATTGAAAGTATCTTTGGTCTTCAAATTTTGGGAAAAGAAAACGGGGAAGATGGGTTCCCACAGACGGCGTCTCTGATCTTACCGGTTGATCAGAACCTGCTAGTGGGTCGACAAATGATATCTGGCTTGCTGGATAGTTGAGGAGAAAAAAGGGGTCGTACCTGCAAGACACTCCGACGATCAAGTAAGTGTGGGAGCAAAGAGATACAAGTAGAATATTAACATTTAAGGTTTAGATATTGGATACCTGGCCCTCACATGTGTGAGGGTTTATGTAACGCCTCTGGCGCTTGGCCATTGGTCCCTGTTTTTTAGCCTAGATATGAGGGTCCGCAAAAATAGATAACTTCCAGAATTCGGTCAAAACGGACAGATGTGCTCGTAACTAGCCGTTGGTTCCGAGGAGGAGGCAGATTACGGGCAGATGGTCGTACTGGACGTTTCCTGGTTATTTGCTCAACTCGTGTCGGGTTGACGGGGAGATAACAACTGACTGGATCAAGCGTGCGTGTCGGGCATCGCTGTTCACGCATCCAAGGGCGTGGTCGACCAGGATCCTGGACCACTGTCATTGGACCGTGCCAAGGGTAGAAGCAGATTGGGCCAATCTTAGTCTTTGAGTCAGTCCAGAATAGATATTTTTTAAGAGTGATAAGCGTGAGTATCTTGGCAGCTTTGCTTGTAATAAGGGTTTGAAAAATGCGTTATATGATGAGCTTATGAGAATTATTTTGACTATAGAGTATGCTATTAATCAAAATTTAAATAATTTGTGGTTGGAGACCGGTTCTGTCTTAGTAGTTAAAACTTACAATAACCATATTTTATATCTTGGAAATTAAGAAATAAATAGAATAACCATATCTTTCGTATCAGAAATTTTAATATTTTAACAACTGATATATATATATATATATATATATATATATATATATATATATATATATATATATATATATATATATATATATATATATATATATATATATATATATATATATATATATATATATATATATATATATATATATATATATATATATATATATATATATATATATATATATATATATATATATATATATATATATATATATATAAAAGTTAAGTGATAATAATTTTACTTAGTGAAATGATATTCATACATATATGTAGATTTAGACTTTAATAAATACAAACTAGATTTATCTAATTTTAGAATTAGATAATATTGAGGTTTCGACTTTATGTCTTCTACTTTTTTACCTTTTTTTTTAGTTATCTAAGCTTAATTTTGATCAAAAACTAGTATTTTTAATGAATTACTACTAATCAAGTTTTATTTTTCCGACAATATTACTCAAAATATTTAAAAAAGGCTGTTCGTAGTTTGTACTCCAATACCCTTTTGACTTTTGAGTTTGAAAACACAATTTTCTTCTCTTACAATTGCGCCATGACAAACCCAATCGCCGATGTTCCCAACGAAACCCTAAACCCTGAAGAAGAAGCACCACCAACACCACACACTCATCCTCAATCCTCTCAACCCCTCCAAAACCCCCAAATTGAAACCATTCCCACAAACCCTAATCCAGATCACGACACACTCATGGAGGATCCAAACCATCCCCAAATCGCAGATGATCCTGAACCCGACGTTCCAACCCCTGCAACCACCGCTCGCCGTGGAAACAAGCGGAGGAAAATCGGCCATTTGCGAACTGCAGCCCAGAAAAAAAAGTTCGAGGAGAAATGTCAGGCTCTTGTCGAAACCCTAACACCCATTCCTTTCAAACCTGCTAAAGCTCTCGACTTTGACAGCCACCAGAGCCTTCTGGAGCGTCTTGGGCTCTGGGGTTTTGTCCACATCGAGTTTGATTCTGCTATTCGCACTGATCTACTCGCTCAGCTTATTGTTAGCTATAACCCTTCCGCAAGGTGCAGTTATGTTAATGATGTCAAGATCATGGTGAACCGCGCTGAACTTGGTCGTGCTCTCAAGCTTCCGAAGAAGAATCCGGCTGGTGCTGGCCCTATCATTGCTGTTGATGAAGTTGGCGCTGAGGATAAAGCTTTCCTTGATCAATTGGTGTCAAACTGGATACTTTTGCAGGATGATACATTAATCATGACAAAGGAAGTTGTGCAGCAAACTACATTTATCAAGGCTGGGAATTTCGAAAAGGTTGATTGGGCTGGACTCATATGGAGCATGTTAGAGAAGGAATTGAAGGCACCTTATCCCGCAGAATGTTACTATGCCTCACATTTGCAGCATTTGATTAAGTCTCAGCACAAGGAGCTGTTGGAGGAAACTCCGGTGGAGGAGGTGGAGGGTGAAGGAGAAGAGGGTGTGGCAAAGGATGAGGAGGAAGAGGGTGTGACAAAGAATGAGGAGGAAGAGGGTGAGGCAAAAGACGAGGAGGAAGAGGTTGGGGTGATAAGAGATGAGGTGGATGGGAGTGGTGATGTGAGAATGGGTGGGGTTGAAGAGAGTAAGGTTCGCGAGTTGGAGGAACACAATATTGAGTTGAGTTTGAAGCAGGAGGATATTGTTGAGACTTTACCGGTGGAAAAAGAGCAGGGTGAAGAGGAACAAATAATGGATTCTGAGCAGTCTAAGGAAGAAGAACAGGAGATATGGCTTTTTGATCAGAAGAACTTTGTGGGGGAGCCCTCTTTGAGGCCATGTCATAATAGCAATGTAAAGGGTATGGTGGACTATAGCCAAGTGAAAGAGGACGTGGAAGAAGAAGGGCAGGAACAAGAGGAGGAAGAAGAGGATGAAGATGCTGAAGAAGATGAACATGAGGGTGGGTTCCAATTGTCAGCCAAGTTTCCTATGGAGGGAATAACTTCTGGGGCCGGGAGTCCAATTCAAGGGATGGAAGCACATAATCCTTTTAGTTCTGGGATTGATCTCCATGATAACTCAGTAGGAGATTTCCTCTCTGCAAGGGATGATCCTCAAATGATTACTGGGTCATCACTTTTTGGTAATGGACACAAGAGAGAGATTGATCTGGATAATCATAACTTCAATCATACTCTAAATGGCAGTAACAAGCGGTTGAGAAATGATGGCGCATGGAGTTCTAAGCCACTTGACTTTGAAGGTTGCATGGAACAGATGGAACATTGGATGGGGAAAGCTAGGATGATGTATGCATCGAAAGATCAGGCTGTTGAAGAATCTTCAATGAATCAACAAGTTTTGCTAGATGAGTTACAGAGGCGGGAAAGCATGATTGAGCATTTGCATAAAGCAAAGATTGAAGAGACTCAGAAAAGACAGATTGAGGTATATCGGCTTGAGAAGGAACTTTATATGATGCAAAGCCTTGTAGAAGGCTACCGAAAAGCCGCAAAAGAAACACAAAAGGCTTTTGCTGATTATAGAGCACGTTGTCCACAAGCTGATGAGCCACTTTACAAAGATGTTCCTGGGTCTGGCGGCCTTGTTTTGAGTGTGGCGGAACTAGAAAAGGAACGCCTGAAGAAGGAAGAAGAGGAAAGGGTAAGGTTGAGAGAACTTTTTAGAGATTTCGAAAAGAACTGTAAAGGTATTGAAGCAGTGTGGATGGGGGAGATGGGTGTACTGGAAAAACATCTAAACAGAGTCGAATCCCTAGGTAACAAGTTGCAGGCTCTGAACGACAAAGTAAAACATTTGAAGGAAGTGAGTGCAAAAGTTAAGATTCCTGTTGAGTGTGCTCCACCAAGTGAAGCAGAAGCTGCTTAGTAAGGTTTAGATTTTCTGTTAGCACATGATTAAATTCAGTCCATACTAAGTTTGAGTCCCCAGTTTGTTTATGTTTATGATGTACAGAGCTTTATTTTAAAACTGAAACCTTAATTCCTACCTAGATTTTGTGGTTATTTTCTTTCTTGGGTCCAGACTAAATTCTGTTGTAGTTCTACCTGTTATGTTACTTTTTCTAGACCAAATGGTATCATATTGGAAGAACATAATGAGATAGGAATAGCGACTATGAAAATCCATTTGGGATCTTCAGCATGGTTGATTATTCTTACAAACTTTCAGTAATTGATTTAATTTAGTGCATGTCAGTTTTCTATGATGGTTATTACTTGTTACTATAATCCTATTTAGCCACATGTTACAATGCTCTGCTGTTTTATGTCTTAGTCTTGTGCACAGCTACAGTTAAGATTCAACTAGGACGGTTTCAGACAGCATGCTGTTATGCTGGTTTCCATACTTCTGTTGTGACCCTTTAGTTTAGTTTATATTAACTGATTTATAATTGTTTGAAGTAAACATCAGCATGATTTATGAGTTAAGAATGTTATCTCTTGTCCAATTTTTACCAGTTTGGTAGTTTTAACGTGTGGCCTTAAATGGTCAAACAGAATATCCATTGAAGTCAGTTATGGTTGTTTCTTAGAAGCACTCTGTCTAAGGTTGTTCTTTAGAAAACTGTGTCTTGTGTTATTAACCTGTTCAAATCAACTATTACTTCTTTTCCAACTGAAAAAAGAAGCCTGATCTCTTGTCACTGACCTCTTGGAAAATTCAGGTGTTAACCTCAATATATACATTGGACTAGGAATACTTTGGCATTGCTATTCCTATTCCTATTTCCTTAAATTCCAAGCGTGAACTTTTTATAGATAGTTTGGTTTCATGTTTTTACTTTCAGTAACGTTTGTCACAGTTTCCAATGTACCTTTTTAGAAGCTCCAATGCTTAGCTTCTACGTCAACATGGGTTTTAACGTGATTCGATTAAATGTGACACTGTCCCAAAAACACACTTAGTCTTGAATTTATTAAGATTACATCATTTGTAGTTGGTGAAAATTTTAGCTCCCTGCAAATGTATTGGTCATATGGATGGAAACTCAAGTCCCTAGTTTTAACTAGAATTATCAATAGCATGCAATAGTGCTGTTTTAGTGCTGATGTTACCTGCTGTAGAAACTGTGGAGCATCTATGAGTTGTTGGACAATCTTTTGGGTTTTGTAATTTCACCTCTTTCTTGTTCATAAGAACAACCCTTTTCTTAAAAAATAGAATTTTCTAAACATTGTTTAAGCTTTATTCGTGGGCCATTCATTGCCAAGCTCTGGCACACTCACTTTTCTGTGTTGTATATACTCTACTGTTTGATTTGTTTGCTTATCTTTTACTCTGTTTCAGCTGTCTCAATTCTCAAACATCCCAATTCTCATACGTCTTTCAAGTGGTAGAAAAATCTGTGCTTTTTTCTATTTCTGTTTTGTCCCTCAACCGTCTGTTGTTTTATCTTTTAAAATTTTAACCATCCTAGTCCTCATTTTGTTCTACTTTATTTTGTCTGTTCACTGTTGTGGTTGTGTTTCCCTTCACGTTTTCCGCAGCCAAGACATCATCCACTTAGTGAGTGTTAAACTTATTTATTCCTTCTCGGTTTCTGTTGTTATAATAGCTTTTGTCTCTTGCTGTTCATAAAAAAGGCTCGTATCTTTAGTTTAAAGTATGATTATGAAAGAAACCGGTATCAAAATACTAATTAATGGTAGAATCTGACTTTCATTTATGGCAGAATATGTTTACAACGTACACATAATTACAAACACTATAAAGAACACATAAAACAGTCAAACTAATCCAAGAAATTTGAGAGTCTTGGTCTCTCCCTCTAAGAATTAGAGAGTTTGGTCTCCAAGAATTAGAGAGCTTGGTCTCCAAGAATTAGAGAGCTTGGTCTCCCACCCAAAACCATTCATTAACTATTTTATTATTATTTATTATTATCAAATTGTGTGTGTAGTATCTGTTATGTAACTGTTTTAGGTAGTCAGAATTATAAATATAGCGTGAAAGGGAAAATGGAGGGGATTAGGTATTTTGTATGTGTGTTGGTTTGGAAGAGACTAGACTCTCTAATTCCTATAGGTTGGTTTACTTGTCAATTGTTGGTTTTGTGTACAGTTTGTATCATTTGTCAATTCAATAACTATCTTGCTGGAAGTTACATCCATACGCATTGTTTCTTTGTTCTACAGTTTCTATTCTTATTCTTTATTCACATGTTCATTATATCCTCAATATCTATGATTGATTGGTGCAGTATTAATCTCTAATATATTTCCCTAAATAAACAATTATAATATCAGTTTCTATCAACTGGTATCAGAGTATTTTTTATTTGACGGCAACGAAGATGCCTATTGGTGGTTGATTTGTATTGAGAAGCATTTGGATGTTGTGGGAATACCGGAAAGTGAGAAGTTGTCGGATCTTGCTTTAAAATGGTGGCAATGGTGGAGTCGACGCTATCTACAAGCGAGTGAGTTGGCAAACGTTTTCGGTTGTGTTGCTTTGGTATTTTAAGCCAGATTATGGAGACCTTCCTATATCATATGAAGAGTAACCTAAATTGGAATCGAAGTCGTCGACGCTTCACACGTTAAACCTTCAACAAGAAGAGATAGACCTAGGAAATTCTGCATTCATTCAGATAGTGGAAGAGAGAAATGAGAAAAAGGTGAAAATTTGCTCGTGAATGTCATTGTTAAAAAACAACAAGTGACTAAAGCAAAATTTTACAATTTTTTCGGTATCAACAAACACTTTGATGAACATGGCGTGAGTATGGTGTGTGAAACAATGACAAGATTGTCTAGAACAACTATTGGAGAGAGATGAGCTTCACTTAAGATGTACACCCTAACTGCCACCGCCATCAAAGCCGCTCGACTAGACAGGTCCTTGGTGAAGGGTAGATTATCCTTTGGGTTGATCAAATTGGTGTTGCTAATGCCTATTAATATCATGCTATGTTTTTGAGTCAAACAGACCATTCAAAAGAGTGTATGATCCAAGCATAAGTTGTTATGTTTCATGCCTTACACTATTACTCTGCTTCAAGTTATGGGGAGTATTGTTATCCTCTGTCTTCACAAGGTGATAGTTTAAGGGAGAGTATTGTTAGTAATAGGTAGTTTATTTTATAATTATCAAGATTACACACAAAAAAAAGATACTAGGTTGTATAAATAATAGATTAAGTTATATAAATAATATAATCAAGATTACACAAAAATTGCAGGCAAATGAGCAACAAACGGCATCGCTATTCCTTTTTGGATGACAAAACCAATCCTCTTAAAAACTTATATTACAATTTTCAATATCTGGTAAGCAACCAAATATAATTGTGTTGGTGTCAGCTGCACTGGTACTAAGATTAATGACTTAGCAATGGTGAATCATCCACATTGTTTTCAGTTTTACTACTGGGAAGAGATAACCTGGTTATGAGGTAAGGATCATGTGGGAGGAATGACGTGGGTATTTGTTAGTGTATACATTGCAATAGGGATGAGAGAGCCTAGCTGTTGTCTGATTTGTGAGAAAAATTGACCACTCAGCCTTTCTCTGATGCATCTAGATTGGATAGGATAATACATGTTTTTCCCCACATGCATAGGGACCATATTTTAGAATTATGACACCAATTATTCAATCTACAGCTACTTTCAGAAATTTGTATAAAGAAATATCTATAATATCCTAACATCACTCATTCCTTGTCCCATTCTAGCTTCATGCATTCATTCGCATAAGAAAACATGATCAATCCATAACACCACAAAATGATGGAACATTTAACACTTTCACCATCCTATATATACATAACAAGAATTGATGAAAATATTTACACTTGGATTAACTTTTCCAACTATTATGTCAAATAAAGATGACTACATCCATGAAAAGCATCATTAATAATGAAAACAGTACAGCAAAACAAAACTCCACTAATTTCTGTTTTTTCCAATTTGAATTGAAAAATACAAGCAAAGACAAGAAATAATAGTAACAAAAAAAGAAACAAAAGAATCTCCAACATTACATTACATAAACCCCATCTAGTTAAAGCAGACACCAACACCATCAAGTACTATTTCTTTCTTCTCTCTAATATTGATATCACTCGGTGTTGCACATGTGTCTCACTGAATTCCAATCATACAACTTTGAGTGGTCCCATTCTTTAAAGTAAAACACATCACGTGACTGCCACAGTTTTGATAGCAAAAGCTTACCACTAATATTCTGCCTAATAAAATTTCTCACCATCTTTTTTGCTTTTACCTTCATTACTCCTTTCTAGCAAAACTATGCTGTTTCTTGAATAAAAAAAGAAATGACAGCATAGGATCATGTGAAGTATAGTACTAGCTAGGTCTCAAACATTGATAATATGCTCGTTTTCAATGTGAGTATCATTATCACAAGGTGGTTTAGGTGATGGAGATGGTGACACTACTGTTGTAGCATTATTCTTGATGTTTTGTTGGTGATACACTTGTCTCAGCCTCTCTATCTCCCTCTTCAGTGCCTCTTGATGAGCTGCATTATTAATTAGCATAAACTGTTTTTAAGTACTACTAGTAATAGTAATAGTAATCTTAATAACTACATGTTGCAGACACATCACATGGTGATCTCAGACAGACAGCATTTTAATATGTGTGCAACTGCATGCAAATGCTTTTACTAAAATCAATATGAATCTGTCCTATTCTCTAATAATTGCTCTCTTTCAACTCTTCTAAACTAGTACTAGTATATTGATATCATGTGCCGTACTATGCATAGTTCCACCAAAAAGAACCTAATTCCATTGGTATCCTAATACTAGTTTTTCATTAGTTAATTGCTTAATAATTGTCTCCTAGAGAGAACACTGAGTTGCAATTGCAAGCTTAGTGGTACAATTGTAAAGT